TTTGATTGAGCCATTGATCTCTCTCTCTCTGTGTGTGTGTGTGTGTGTGTGTGTGATGAGATCTGAGTATTATCAGAACTGGCCTGGAGCTGGAGAAATCAGCTAATTAAAGAAACTCTTTGATGAGCTGTAAGTCAATTATCATGTGACTTCCCATTGCATTATTATACAAATGCCCAGGGGTCCTCATGCAACTATTTACATTGGATGAGAAATCTATTGCTCCAAATCTCGGCTCAGCCGTGCATTTTGTGCATCGACATACAAGCTCAAGCGAGACACTGGACAAGCCATGTCCTCAGCATCACCTGCTGTATCTGTGTGCAGACAGCTGCACCTGCTTGTGATGAAGGGCATCTTTCCATCTTCCCACTGCTAGCATGAACACGGTTGAGTGTGCACGTCCCCAGCCATATTCTTCTGGGTTTGCCAGGCCCCATCCACTCCCTAATACAACACACTGCCATTCATCATTGTGACAGCAAGAGCCAGACCTCCTTCATTATCAGACAGAGATGAGAGGAAGATCAGAGGTATTCTGCACTGTCCTGCCTTTGTACCATCCTAATGCTACACTGCATGTCAGACATTTTACTGGACAACAATCAGACTGACACATTAATCACTGTGATGAGATCTGAGTATTATCAGAACTGGCCTGGAGCTGGAGAAATCAGCTAATTAAAGAAACTCTTTGATGAGCTGTAAGTCAATTATCATGTGACTTCCCATTGCATTATTATACAAATGCCCAGGGGTCCTCATGCAACTATTTACATTGGATGAGAAATCTATTGCTCCAAATCTCGGCTCAGCCGTGCATTTTGTGCATCGACATACAAGCTCAAGCGAGACACTGGACAAGCCATGTCCTCAGCATCACCTGCTGTATCTGTGTGCAGACAGCTGCACCTGCTTGTGATGAAGGGCATCTTTCCATCTTCCCACTGCTAGCATGAACACGGTTGAGTGTGCACGTCCCCAGCCATATTCTTCTGGGTTTGCCAGGCCCCATCCACTCCCTAATACAACACACTGCCATTCATCATTGTGACAGCCAGAGCCAGACCTCCTTCATTATCAGACAGAGATGAGAGGAAGATCAGAGGTATTCTGCACTGTCCTGCCTTTGTACCATCCTAATGCTACACTGCATGTCAGACATTTTACTGGACAACAATCAGACTGACACATTAATCACTGCATCATACAGTACACACAAATGTTCCTTATTTGATTGATCTATGTATAAAACCAATTGTATTATGTATTGTTTGCTTTTTTGATTTAAAGCCTCTGGTTATGATTATGATGATAGATGTATAGGCTCAGTCTCAAGCCCTGTAGTTAACAGGACTATCAGTGCAGTTGCCAATAAGGATCAGTACTAGGTGTCAATACAGATGTCTGTCAGTGTATATTCTAGAGCAGGGGTGTCAAACTCTTTTTAGGTCAAGGGCTGGCTTGGTATAAATATCACTTTAGGCAGGGCTTTATTTTGTTTAACCTTGGTGTACCTATAGAGAGTTCTTGTAGTTAATTAAAACTTAAACCTTAAAAAAACTGTTTTGATATGTGCATAAAATAAATGTTAACTGAAACAAAATAGAAATAAACAATTATTTCAACTAGTTGCCAAGAAAACATTTCTCATTTTTGTTTAATTTAACTTTATGTACTAAAAATCTAAAACTAAAACTGAAATTTTTAAAAACTATATTGCCATAATTAATTAATTTAAAATAATACGAATAAAACACACATCAAAATTACTACAACTTTAATTAAATTTCAAATGAAAACAAAATATTAAAATCAAAACTAATTCAAAATAGTAAAACTAAATTATAAAAACTATAATAGGGTCTCAATGATACTAAAATAACACTTCTTGCACATAATGACATCCAGAATCAACTTAATGCTGCTTTAATAATATCCAATATAAGGTAAATCGAAATATCAAAAGGGGAGCACATAAAATTTAATCATTTCATTCACAAGAGGCTTTTATATGTCTTAGGGCCTTTAGATCCAATTGATAACCACTAACTAGCATTGCTTTATTTTACATCTGTAGTCAAACCTGAACATAAGGTTTGATCTAAAAAAAATAATTTTAATTAGATTTCTCAAACTTCAGCATCAAATCAGTATTATTGCATTATATCTAAAAACCATGCAGTATGAAGATGTGAGCAATTCACAGTTTAGCCCAAATATTCATGGCAATAGTCATTATTGCCATGAGGGACTCAAACTTCAAAAGAGGAGCAATGAACTGAGTTATCCAGGGACACGTTGTTCACTTGAGTGCTGAATGTTGTGCGCAATTAAAAGAAAGCTTCTATCTCTTCAAAATAAACATGCTATATAACATGCAAAAACGTTAGTTGCAGAGTTTATCTTTCCTGCTGCATCTTAAAATATAGTATTATGAATATACTATACTAATATAAATAAATACAAATGCATGCTGGATTACTATACTAATATAAATAAATACAAATGCATGCTGGATTGGACTGCTCAGTGATCTGTTTTTGAGCTTTTAACCTTGGTGACATGAATTCTTGATTTCAAACCTTGAAGAACATTACCAACAAAATATAAAACGACAAGCTATTTGGCCCTAGATTGATCAATGTCTCATAAAGACTATAAGAGGGGCTCAAACATCTCCATGTGATCACCGGGTCTATCACTGCACATTTGACACTCGTCATTAATTAGCCTGCCTGGATTGTAAGTGTTGCTGTGTCGCACATTAGAATAAGACCCACGGACAGCAGCCCTCCCCGTCACATGTGCCCACACGTCTCCCTCTCTCTCCAGCTCTGATCGGCCTCGAGCTAATTATAGGCCACGTGACTGTGCAGGTTACAGCAACAGAGCGCGGGGCTATCGCAAGGCTGTTAATTACATCATTAATCCAGTAACCCCAAAGGCCGTACGCATTGGCCGGCCCTAAATAGATTGATGCAGTGAGGGAAAATATGAAAGCAGGCTTCATTTGTTATTCATATCTGTGAAAGAAATGGATCATGGCACCTCTAACCAGAGCTGTTACCTTCATATTAAAACGCTGTCTTTTAAACTCAGTGTCATGTAAGTGTGTTAATGCTCTCATACCTTTAATTAACACAGATGAATGTGGCCATTTGCCCACTAGCAGAAACCGTTTTTCCAATGTGGTCTGATGTTAAGTGACGGCTCAGCACACAGTCAGACCAGTGTGTGCACACCAGACCAGTCAATATGTTATTTGATCTGCTGCATTTTCCAAGGGAGGTCGAGCATGAGAGGGCATTATGTGCAGCTAAAACGGGTCATTTTGGCAGCTAATTATAGGGGGAGGTGTCTGATGCAGCGCCAGGGCCAAGTTCTCTCACCCTGTTTCCCATCCTCCTCTCTGTAGCCATGACTCAGTCCACCTGTGTTTGCTGATGTCCTGCTGCCGTAATTGAATTTACTCTAGTGTCAGAAGGTCGTGCTCTAATAGAGGCTGTTCAATCTTCGGGAGACTGAATGGGGGGTTTTGGGCTATTTTGCAGTTTATTATACAATAGTAGGGTAAGATGAGGAAGACACTTATTTACTTTTACATAATGTAACATATTTAAAAATAAGTTTAGCATGTACAGGATGATGATGCATCAGCCAATGTGTTATCAAGGGAAATAAATAGAAACATAGAAACACCCCCAACCCCAGGTATACTTTTAGAGAATAAATGACTTTTGTTGTCATTTTTGTTCATGTATATTGTATTAATGTAAAAAAACTAAATCAACTATTCTATTTAAAATTGTGTTTTGACAATTTTGTTGAATAATTGAGTAACTGATGACAGACAAAGCTGAATACCCGTAAAAGAGATTCAGCTGAAAGGTAGATTTATACTATGACTTATATACAGGTATTTGAATAAATACATATTTTATTGCTCATATTTTTTAATAGAAGAACACTATGGATTCAAATTAAATTATTTCACAAATTTCTGGCCCTACTGTGCCCACTCTGTTGATATTCTGATGAAACCACAAAATTAAGAACCACATACCCATTTATTAAATGTGTTGAGATGACATTGTTTATGCACCACCGTTCAAATGTTTGGGATCAGTAAGATTTGTTATGTTTTTTAAAGTAGTATCTTATGCTCAATAAGGCTGCATTTATTTGATTGAAAATACAGTAAAACCAGTAATATTGTAAAATATTACTATAATTTAAAATAACATTTGTACTGCGTACTTTTTATTTATTTATTTATTGGAAACTGTGATACTTTTTTTTCTTATTCTTTTAATAAAAAGTAAAAAAAAAAAAAAAAGTACTGACCCCAGACTTTTGAACGGTAGTGTATATTGTTATAAAAGCTTTTTATTTTTATTAAATGCTGTTCTTTTGAACTTTTTATTAATCTAAGATATGCATTTTTGATCAAATAAATGCACCCTTGATGAGCATAAGAGACTTCTTTAAAAACATTTAAAATCTTACTGATCCTAAATTTTTGAAAGGTAGCATATGATCACGAGAGAGAGAGAGAAAAAATAAGATTATTAGGCATCTTACCCCATCTTACTCTACACCTAATTACATGGCTCTCTGAAATACTTGATTGTTATTGTTCAGATGTGCCATCCTGTGGTTTATAATGACACTAAACTCTACTTGGCACCCAAAACTCATACACTCTCTTTTACTTTTCTTTTTCCACGCATAATAAAGCAATTCAATAACTTCAATAATTAATGTCTGTTTGTTTATTTAGTAAGTAGCTGTATAATAAGCAGAATAATGTATAGCAAAGCCATTTGGTTGATATTGCAAAAAAAAAACTCATCAGGAAGATGATCACTTGAGGACAATAAGTTTAATTGAAAATGATGATCTATGCTTGAATTCTGGTCTCAGATGTAAGCAGTTTGATCACAGCGCTTTTCCGTGGTTGAGTCAAACTAGTTACTAATTTTGTCCTCTCTTAATAGATTGCTGATCCAGGCCGGCATCGACATCAACAGGCAGACCAAAGCGGGCACTGCCCTGCATGAGGCTGCGCTGTGTGGGAAGACTGATGTGGTGCGCCTCCTGCTGGATGTAAGTAGACACAGAAACTGCTATTGATCCCTGAGGGGAATTTAGTGCGCGACAAATAAAATAAAACCAATAATTTAGAATTGAGAAAAAGCACCAACATTTAATTAACTGACTGACTGATCAACCCATAGGCCTACTGTTTGTGATAACATTGATTGTATTAAGAGCATAACTGACTGATATAGCCTACTTAGGTGTACATAATTGTCTTAATCCAACTTTGCTAGCAAACAGTCTGCCCATTTAGGTTCAGACTAGCAGTTTCAATGATATGGTGGTTTCCCTCAGATTCGGGCTGTTAGGTTTAAATTATTTTGATTAGTGAATTGGTTGGAAGTGGCCAGACAGATTAGACTAGTCTGGCCTGTTTTCTCATACAACCTCTTATCTAAATGGGAAGTAAAAAGATCGAGCTTTTATATTTCATAGAGAAACGTATCTCCCATGTTAGTCAAAGGGATCCCAAAGTACATTATCTATTATTGCTTTAACTTTCACCCTACAGAGTGGCATCAATGCAACAGTGAGGAACACATACAGCCAGACAGCGCTGGACATCGTCTACCAGTTCACTGCTACACAGGCCAGCCGAGAGATCAAGCAGATGCTGCGAGGTAAGAAAAGGGGTAAATATATTTCACTTATTTATACGTGTTTGTGTTTATATACAGTATATGTTCATATGTGATGTGTAGTAGCTTATGCACTTTATATCTGTTTATCTCAATGCAGATGCCTCAGCAGCCTTGCAGGTCAGGGCACTGAAGGACTACTGTAACAATTACGACCTGACTAGCCTTAATATAAAGGCTGGAGATGTTATCACGGTAATATTCATAAGACCTGCTCTAAAACAAATTATGAATATTTGAAGCTAGTTTGAAGTCAATTTGTTTTACTCTCATGCATTATTAAAATTCAAACTGTCTCAGGTCAATTTTGACTGCATAAAAAATTCCAAATTAATCCTTTGAAATAATTGTAGATAGTTCAGTGTACTTTCAGAACTTGTCAACAGAGGGTGCTGTTGACTGTGTTTTCCCCCAGACTTTCAAAAATAATTTAGAGAAGTACGTCAGCACCTTATTATATGATCTCTTCTTGCTGTATAGTATGATATTTCAGACTCTAATGGAATGGTCTAATTTCAAAACTTCACTTCAAGTTCAGAAGTTTTCAAGGGCTCAGGACAAAGGTCAGAAGTCAGAAAAGTCACAAAATTGCTCCAAATGCCTATGAAAAATGTTTTACACACATTTAAAATTTACATTTTTAAAATTATTATTATTTATGGACATTTATTCTGTTTATTTTATTCTAGGCCTATTTAGTTAAGTATCTGTTTATTTTTCTGTAATGATGCTGAAAATTCAGCTTTAACATCACAGGAATAAATTAAATTTAAAAAAATTGGGGGTAAAATCTCATCTCAGTTGTGAAAAATTAATATTTTTTCACAATATTACTGTTTTAACTGTATTTTAATGCAGCCTTGCTGAGCATAAGAAACCTCATTCAAAAACATTACAATTTCATCAACCCTAAACTTTTGAATGTATAATTTAAAAATAAACATAAAAATAACATTTGAAATTTCTACAGTTCCGTAACATTCTTAATAAACACAAGATTTTAAATGAAGTTCTGATTTTAAGTTTGCACTCAATTTTGGCATTACAAAGTATTAAAGGTGATGTAGATTGATTGTAGACGATTCATTACTTATATAGGTTCTGGAGCAACATTCAGATGGGAGGTGGAAGGGCTGCATCCATGATAACCGCACAGGAAATGACAGAGTGGGCTACTTCCCCTCCAGCTTGGTGGAAGTGATCAGTAAGAGGCCTGGGGCTGCGGGTAAGAGAGGACAACAGGCGGGTCAGTGCTGCCTCTTACTGAGACCTCACGCACTCACAGATGCACAAGTAATGCTGCTAAACTCACATGACCCTGATTCTGTTTGCAGCCAGCTGTTCATGCTGCTCATGTGCACTGGATTGAGAGCCAGACAGGGCCATCTGCTTTTGTGGCAACAAAAACAGGGCAAATGTGGAGCATCTTTAGCTCTTTTCTGATCTCCTATTGCTCAGTTTATACAGCATTTTATGCTGTCAGAAAGGAATCTGCTGATAATAGTGCCTCAAATAGTAGCTAGGTCTCCATCCAAACACAGACAGAACAGCAGAACTCATTGGATTGCGCCCTCTGCTGGTCAACTGGAATGTGATAAACAATTGCATGTAATGGTGGGCATCTACGTAGATCTTCTTCTTAGTTCACATTGGCCAATAAGTACCTCTTTATCCATGCTAGAGAACCTAATTTTGAGGCTAATGGTATTAGAGAAGAGAAGAGAAGAGAAGAGAAGAAACCTGATCTTAAAGATGTTTTTAGCTTATCACTCATAGGAAGAATATTTGGGCATCAGAAGACTTTTCTGTGCACCCGTGCAGATTTTTATGATCCATAAAGTGCGCTCTTTCCATCCAGAGGGTTTATGTCCGGTCTATGGCTCTGTTTGGGAATGACAGCAGGCGACTAATCTATGTGTTCATTGTGTCTCATGCTTCACTAAGTATCCATGTCTGTGTCTACATCTGCTGCTCAGTCTCCTTCACACCTTCCATGTTTTTGTGCCCCGCTTTTTGTGCTTTAGAATATTCCAGGTCCTTTTTTATAGTCCCTTATTTACTGAAATTGCAGTTTTTATAAACATACTGCAACTGATTTAATTTCTGTTATATTTATGTAATTAGTGAAAGGAGGAGAGTTCTCATCTCAAACAAGCCCTCTACTAAGTCCTGCTGTGCTCACAGTGAACATAAATGGTCAAATTGCGCACTCGCACGGCCACCCACACACAGACTTACTGAAAAGAGTCGTGCATACTAAACTTCTCATTTGAGAAGATCACGCTATTTCTCCTCAGGCACTTACAGAAAGAGACTTTTCATTTCACTCAAAGCACCAGCCCATTTCCAATTCATTCACTAACCTTGCATTTCCACACATCGCTTATATTTCAAATATATATGTATATATATGTATATTTTGAGTGTATGCACATAAAATATCAATCGAGACCTTGAAGATGATATAGTTACATGCATTTCACTCCATTCACACTGAATAGTTCGAGATACAAAGCAAGCGTTTCTTCCTTTCGATTTGTCTTTTATGGTTTTGCTGTTTTGAATTTCGTGATTGGTTGTGATTTTTGTGTTGAGTTAATTTGCTTTCCCTCTCTTATGTGTAATTGTTTTGTTTGTTGTGGTGGTGGTGGTTGCTGTGTTGTCGTATCTAGGTTCATGGAGTACAGTCACTTGTACCCAACAGTATCAAAAGATACAGCTCTGTGCGCCGGTGTGCGGCCCTGTGTCGCCCGCCATTGCCATGGTGAATGGGGACTCGTATCATGAGATTCATATCCTGCCGCCTCCTCCACCTCCGCCACCACATTCCCATCTGCCACTTTTCACTTCCTTTGGCTATAACAGGTCCCCAAACACCCCAGGAGAGCCGCACAGTGGACAAGGTACAGATCCCCTAATCTGTCTCCACTGTATTATTATTAATATCATTTATAATAATAATTATTATTATTCACAAAGCTTTAAGGAATGTGTTAAATTACAGTAGTTCTCATTTTAATAGTCTGAATATGAACAATAATCAATTAGCTCCAATAATTCCTTAAAGTTTTCTGAATTAATTTTTCTGGAAATTATTATTTCTGAAATTTTCCTTATTTACATTTAATTTTAATTTCATTTTCTGACATTATTTTGGTTGTTGATTTTTTTTTTTTTTTAGAGGCCAAGAATGACCAAGATTTGGCTAGTAAGTTCTTTTAACCAGCAAAAAAGAGGCTCACAGCCTCTCTTTGTTGAAGCTGTTATCTCTCCTCTTTTACTCCTAAATCTCCCTGAACTTGGTGCTACATTTTCCCTCTCTGTGATGACCACTCCTGGGATTCGCTCCACTGCCCACTTCACTCGTTCTCTCTTTTACACGTGACCAACAGGGAATGCACAGCCAGCCTCTCACCCCTCCATACCTGCATCTCTGCACAACATCAGTCTGTGTGTGTGCCGTCAATGAACATCTGTCTGTTTCATCTCTCCTTTGTCTCAACTGTACTGATCTGTCCATTCATATATACTAACTCTGATCCTTTCAGTGATTGTGTATCACACCAAACTTTGATATTGGTATGGAGCATGTTGATATTCTTATGTACTCTGGGTCGTCGTAAATTGGAATATGTTTATGTCTGTTTTAGATGTAAGTGATCAGTAATCATCAGGCTCATGTGGAATCAGTGCCCTCAGAATTTGAACGGTGGCCACAGCCAATCTTGATATACTTTCAGCTACCAATGAAAGTCCTGTACTTTCAGTTCCCTTTAACACCACGTTTAAATCTATTATGAAAAATTACACTGATTTTTTTCCTTTAAAATGGTGAAACAATTCTGCACATTCTGTCTGGGCCTGGTAATTGTGAAACAAACCCTAAAGGGATAGTTCACCCAAAAATGAAGATTGGCATCATTATTCACCCTCATGTCGTTTCAAACCTGTATGACTTTCTTTCTTCTGTGAAACACAAAAGAAGATTCTGTGAAATGGTGTGTTTTGGTCCATACAATGAGTCAGTGGTGTCCAAATCAACTATGGTGAGTGACTTTCATTGTATGGACATAAACATGAAAAAAAAATTCTTATTTTGTGTTCACAAAAAAGACATGAGGGTGAATAAATGATGACAGAATTTACATTTTTAGGTGAACTTTCCCTTTAACAATATTTTTTTAAAAGTCTGGTGAGACTTTTCTTTGATTAGAGACAGCTACTGTAAGATGTTATTGCGTTTATTTGTATATGAACACATTAATGTACATTTGTGGTTTGATGGCTTTAGAATCCTAATGAACTATGCTCCTGTAATGCACTGCAACACCTTTTGTTGTTATACCTATTTACATATATAATCATATATCCCTGTATATATTATATATGTCATACCTATGTTTATGTGTAAATCAAGGCATATATATGTGTATATACTCATATATACAGTACATGTTTCTTCTTTTATATTTCATGTACCTCTGTATATAAATGTTCATATATATTTGTTAGATATACAGTATATATATATGCGTGCTTACCTTATGTGTGTGTTTGAAAGGGAGAGAGAGGGTTGCAGTCAAGCAGACTGCTAAAGCGACATAATTTAGACATAGTTTAGCTGTCCTCTTGCCTGACCTGTCCAGAAAACTTCTGATGAGGCCAAGCCAGGGCACAGTTAATGATGGTTTCTGTGTTAAAGGTTCTCGCGGCTCAGAGTCCAGTCCACATGGCTCACCCACCCCAGCCGGTGGTCCCCAGGGCGGCAGCAGCGAGGAGATCTGGGTGCTGCGCAAGCCTGTGGCAGGTAACAGCAGGGCTGCCCCCTTTTCCTCCTCTTCTTCTTCTCTCACAATTCCCCCTGCTTTGCCACGCTCCCGGTGCAGCTGCTGTACGCCTGACCTCAGAAACCTCTTCAACTGCAGGCGTGTAGGCGCATTGAAAGGCTCTCATTTGCTCTGTTAGAGTAGCATCCGTTAAGTCGTTCCCTCAAGAACACACGTACAGACAATTCACAGATGTGTGTGTCTGTAGCCGTGTGTGCAAACTGCATTTTCAATGAAGGCAGCGTGGGCCTGAGTGTGTTTGTATTAGTGACTATGCTAACATGTCGTGTGTCATCAGTCACCTGGTCTTTGGTCACCATTGTTATGTAAGTCTCTGTCATCCCATGTATCAGATCAGTGCATTGCAGAGGGGAAGTTCATAATGGTGTGATTGGAGGGTTTCGGGGAGGTGTGATCCGACTGGGCTGACTGCTGGGGGCTTGTTGTTCCAGGTGGAGACCGCAGCAGTGTGGGCAGTTCAGGCAGTGTGGCCAGTGCTCGATCCTCTGGTAGTGGACAGAGCGCAGGCAGCAGCAATATCCTTCATGCACAGGCAGAGGGTGTCAAGGTAAGCTATCTGACATGCAAAGTGACTCAACTCCAATTGTGGTTTGAGAAGATGCCTGAAAGAACTTACTTGTATGTTGCTGGTTTAAATAGTTAGACATGTCTTATATCTAGTAATACTGGCAATAGAACAATCTCCAAGAACTGAGAAAAACAGGTCATAATGTGCTAATGTGAACAACCACGTCAACCAGGGGTGTGTTTCCCAAAAGCATTGTCAGCTAACTAGGATCGTAAGTTTCATTGAACTCTATTGGTAATGACGGAACTTGTGACCATAGTTGCTTTTGGGAAATGCATCTGACTATGCGTTTCAAACGATCATCTGACTATCTTGAATCCGCCATCTTGAGGCGCTACAGTGATCTATCACGACACATTAAAGTGCCACAAAATGGTATTTATTGTTTGAATTTCTTAAAAAAAGACAATTTTAAAGCTGAGACCTTGCTTCATTCCAGAAGTAGCCTGCTTTGTCTTGTCTGTCGGCGTGTTGTCAGTTTTCTCTTTGCTCTGCGATGTATTTTTTACTGCTTGAAAACATGGTGTGTGGCATGAGAGCAGCATTGTTTTATGTCATAGCATTATGTCATAGCAACAGTAACTAAGGAAGGTGGGTTTTGCAAAAAGTCAATTGAACCAACTCAGCCAATGACCTAGATCACTGGTTCTCAACTCCAGTCCTGGGGACCCACTGCTTTGCACATTTTGTATGTCTTCCTTATTTAACGCACCTAATTCAGATCATCAGCTTGTTAGGTGAGTGCTCCATGAACTCAACTGAGTGCATCAGATGAAAGGGTTGACAACCACTGACCTAAATAATCATAAATAATGAGCTTCAACAAGCTAGAAAACATTTTAAACCAGCTACCATTAGAAGCTGGTCTGCCAGCCCTAATCACTGAGCAGGAACAGTATGGTATAGTACAGTACGATTTGGGATGGTACACTCTAAACTGGCTTGCATTTCCACCACAAACAGTACCCTTACTTGATAAGAATGGTGTATGCCGGAAAGTAGTGATCAACGTCATTCTTGCGCGAAGAAGAAAACGCAAAGTGGTCTGTGTGTACGTGTTTAAAAATATCTACCTTATTTTTCCCGTAAGAGCGGACTTGGCCATTTGTAAATTTTATGGGTCTGTCTTCTGGTCTCATCCGCATCCAGCTATTTTTAGCTGTACAAAACAGCTCGATTTGCTGCTTGATATTGCAAATTGGTGTGTCTTACCATATAATTTAATGTATTATCTTAATTATGAACACATTGGTTTGTAGTGCAGTTTTACCGTTTACTGCACATTGTTATTCTTGTTCCCTATAGGCTTAAGCCCTGTTCACACCAAGAACGATAACTATAAAGATAACTATAAAGATATAGTTCCAAAAATCGTTCTCAATATTAAAGAATAGCAACACAGTTATAACGATAAAGAGGCTCAAGATAGTTTACAAGGTCAGCCTTGACCCTACAAGTTATCAGTCTAACTAAACCCACTTGGACCAGCTACTCACTTTAAATGACCAGCTTAAACCAGCTAGAACCTATGTAAAACCAACAATATCAGAAGCTACTCTCTACCAGCCCTAACCAGATTGATCAAGATGATCTGCAAGGTTGACCTCAACCCCTGTAGCTGGTTGCCCTGATTGTGATAAGCTTCAACTTGCTACCACGAGAAGCTGGTTTGACCTAAATTTTCCAAAGGAACGTTTTACACTTACTCATTCTTGCAAACCTTTATTCTTCAAAGCTGAACAAAAGGGAGGTGAACTTGAAGTCCAACTGGCATAGATATGCATTGATATTTTCATGTTATTTCTTGATCTGATGAGCTTTGTTCATTCTGTAGCTTCTGGCAACGGTTTTGTCCCAGTCTGCCAAAGCTAAAGAACACCTGCTGGAGCAGACCAAGTCTTTGGACCACCCCTCTCACGCTTCCAGCAACAAAGGTTAGTGGGAATGTCAAACAACTCTTTTGAGAAGAAATCACACGAGAATCTCGTCACAAAGAAGTCTCTTCATCCAAAATGTTTTATCTTTTTTATTTCACAAATTGGCTGCTTTTTCTGTGCCAGATGGTTGCACTAATAGCTGTGGGTGTAAGCATCACAAAGATCTGATTGGCTAAGAGGAGTAGTTGGTCAGAAAACACAAAAGGGATTGGTTTGTGCAATAGCAGTGCTCCAATGTGTATGAATGATCTCATGGTTCTTCTAGGACCTTCCTCACGCAGTCAGAGTTTGTCAAGCTGTCCACTTCATGAGCAGCCGTATGGGGAGGCGGTGTCCCAGAGGAAAGGGGAGGTGCTGCCCGAGGGGAAGGTAAGGAGACTCCTACTCCCGCTCAAATCACACTGTCCCCTTACCTTTCCCTCAAACAAGCAAACACTTTCTCACGCACACATACGCATGCATGCACTGGCATCTGCACATCCAGGATGCTTTCCCAGCACTTCCTCTCACAGCTGGCATCATCGGTATTACGTGCTCTCGGTTGTCGTCAGGACACGGTGAGTTGGCTTCTCCGCAGGCTTCCTTGCACGCTGTCCTCAGCTTCAGGTTTCTGTCAGCCGCTCTGTCTGATACTACTGTCTAATATTGACAGCGATTCCTTTCACTCTGATCTTTTCTGATCATTCATTTCATTTTCTTTGCTACATTTTGAAGTCCATTCCAATTTTTTGCCTTATTTGCAGTAATTTTCACCTTTTTATTTATTTTCAGAGAGTACCCAACAATGTAGACTTTTGATTTGAATGTGGAGTGTATTTTAGAGATGATATGGTAATGGCACATAATCAAGATTTAGTCTGTCCACACTGAGACTTGTGAGTGTAGAGGATATGAGACTATGACGCTGATATTTTCGAGAAAGGTGTATCAACACAAAATGAATATGACACTGTCTAGGTGTTATTATCCTTTATCCCATGAATGAGCTTGTATGTTGCAAACTGGTAATGTATATTTGACACTCGCCACTTTTGATGTCATTTTTATAATTAGCTGAAATCAGAAATTACACTGTTTAGAGTCATATAACAGAGAAATTTGGCTGCCATATCTTCCCCAGCGGGACTTTGGAGCTGCTGAGTAGAGCTGCTCCATGCTGGACTTCTGGACTGAGGGCCATCTGTTCAAAACAGCCCTATTTTCTTTGCTGCCCATGTCCATTTTTGCCTCTCCTACACAGAGTTACAGTACATCCCCCTACTTTCAGGGAAATGGCATTCCAAAGCAGACACTCCTTTTTTTTAACTGAACCATTTGGTTCATAAGAGCCCTTATTTGCTAAAGCTTTGGCTCTTGTTGCCAGAGCAGGTACCTGGACCAAGAGCAATAATTTTTACTCCAGTATAATACCAAACAGAAGTAGGGGCAGGTTTTAATTATTTATGAACTAATAAAGTTTAGTGGAGTTGAGACATTGGTCACTGGGACTAATGTTTTCAGTTTGTTGGCCTGGGGTCTGGTCCATTTTCAGCCACAGGACCCAAACAATGATAGACTGCCACCTATCTTCTCTTCTAGAGCTCAGAGGCTGTTATCGAATGGCTGAGTGAATTTCAGCTGCAGGTCTACGCTCCAAACTTCATCAGCGCCGGCTATGACATTCCTACCATTAGCCGAATGACCCCAGAGGTAAGAGTTGTCCCACCCCCTTAAGCCACCCTGAACTATTCACATCACTTCCCTCTACCCTAAATGTAACACTCACAGGCCCACTCAAAGCACAGAAAAGAAGCGAATCAACCAACAAATTATCCTCAAATTTTCAAATAAAATTGCTAACAATGTGCCAGAAGCACACAGGTTTTATGAGAGTTCGAATTTTGCCCATAGCAAGTTGGAAAATCTCACCCAGAAAATCCCCCCAGACAGTGCCACTGTCTTGGTTGTCAAATGTGTTTGTCTTTTCCTACTATGTTATGTTGGTATCTTGATGAATTACTAAAGCATATGTTGTGATTAATGTACATGTTGTTGTGAGCTACTGTATGTATTTTTGTGTATATTAATAAAATCAAAGGCAATTTAAACATCTCATAAACATATTTTGTAGTAGAATTATTAATGGTAATTTCATGAATATTATGGAGTGTAAATCTGTTACTAAATCTGTTACTAAGTCAAAAGCATTACTAAACCTGAAATTAATCTTTGAGCAATTGGAATTCCTGAAAGAAAGCTCATCTACTCACATTTAATTACATTAAACCACTGACTTCATAGGATTTACATAGTGTCATTGCTGAAAGCAGAATTAACAGGGGTGTTCTGTTGAAACACTGAGGACATGATCAATTAGAATATGTTTATATAATTATGTTTGGGGGTACTCTGAAAAGGCTTCTTTTCCTCACTTGTTCCTGGTATTGTTTTATTTATTTTTTTCCCATTCCCTTTTTTATTTTATTTTGCATCTGCTTCTATCATCCTGGCACCTTTTGGCAATCAGAGTGTTTGATATGTCTGATTTTAAGTGTTTTATCTTTTATGTGTATATGTAATTTTGCGTATAATATTGTAAATTTGTGTGTAAATGTTCATATGCGCAGAATATATGCCACTTGGTTTAGTGTGTATGAAGGTTTTAGGGTGCTGAAATGTAATTGGCTTGTTTAGGGGCTCCTATATTTATTTTCAGGATTTAACAGCTATTGGAGTAACCAAACCAGGACATCGAAAGAAGATAACCTCAGAGATCAATAAGATCACTGTTAATGAGTGGCTGCCTGACCAAAAACCAGTGAGTTTAACACACAACCACACACACACACATTCACACACATCCAGATGTTAATTTGTTCATTTGTAATTTAATCTACAGGCGAGTCTTGGAGAGTGGTTAGCTATGATTGGGTTGAGTCAGTATCACCAAGTCTTAGTCCAAAATGGATACGAGAACATTGAATTTATCACTGACATCACGTGGGAGGACCTTCAGGAGATTGGCATTACAAAACTTGGTAAGATAGATAGTGGACTGAGATCCATACTATTAAAGTGATTTCACACACACAAACTTCTGTTCTTTCCACACTGCTTGACCATAGTGGTTTACTCTCTTTCTCTATCCAAATTTACCTAGGACACCAGAAGAAGCTTATGCTTGCAGTAAAGAAGCTGGCAGAGATCCAGAAGGCCTCTGACGGTCGCAACACATTGCGTAAAAAGCCCCCAGTCACTCAGGAGGTGATGACTATTGAGAGCCCACCCCACGACAGCGGAGAGTGTATGTCCCCTAAACTGACCACGTTCCAGGACAGTGAACTGAGCGGGGAGTTACAGGCTGCTCTGACACGCCCTGCTGATGTGCAGGATGGCGCAGAAATGAGAACAAACAGCAACTTGGGAGCACAACACCGAGCCCGCAGTCTGCATGAGAACAGTATGAACAAGAGCCGAGACACCGAAGAGCCTAGTGGGCCACCCAAAAAGGAAGCACGTACTATGCGCCAGAGCAGCCAGGGGGGGCAGAGAAGTGTCTCATCGGCGCAGCCAAAACCGCGTCAGTCTTATCCCCAAGGTACAGTACCGCCCTATACTCCACCACAAACGCCCACCAAAACAAAGCCTCCCACCTCACAGACGGTGAGCAACCCACCGAGTAAACAAAAACCTAGCTCTCAGCTGCATCAGCAGACCGAAAAGCCCATGACATCTCGTGCTCACCCCCAATCCCCCACTCAAAGGTCCCATCCACACCCAGCAGCCCAGCCTGTGGAAACTAAGGAGGCTGCACCTCAAGGACCTGCTGTCTCAGTACCACTCCTGTGCCTGCCTCCAGAAGGCGACGAAGCTTGTGATGAATATGGTCTGCCTAAGAAACGTGCCCACAGCCTGAATCGCTATGCTGTGTCTGATGGTGAACAGGAGCGGGACGAGCTAAATGTGCCAGATTCAGGAGGAAAGTATGCCACAGTACAGAACCGGGTGGGTCGCAGCAACTCAATGAAAGGGCAAGCAGACAAAAATGTCAACCGAAGCCAGTCCTTTGCGCTCAGACAGAAAAAGAAGGGTCCTCCTCCACCTCCCCCCAAACGCTCTAGTTCAGCCATCTCAAGCTCCAGTAGTAATCTGACGGAAGTGCCCAAGGAGACAAGCAGTGGACCTCTTCTGGAGGTCCCCTACCAACCACAAAGACGTGCAAGCGACCTGGGTGGCACTGTAGACACGGGCAGTGCCGGTAGTGTGAGGAGCATTGCAGCCATGTTGGAAATGTCCTCCATTGGTGGGGGTGCCAAGGGTCTCTCTTTACAGAAGTCTGCAGGTCACTATCTGCAGGTAAGGTGGTTGTCATTGTGTCTTTGGGATGATACTTACAGTGGGGAAAATATTGATTTGATCCCCTGCTGATTTTGTAAGTTTGCCCACTTACAAAGAAATGAAGGATCTGTAATTTATATGGTAGGTATATTTTAACGGATAGAGACAGAATATCAACCAAAAAATCCAGAAAAAACACATTATATAAAGGGTAGAAATTTATTTGCATTTCAGTGAGTGAAATAAGTATTTGATCCCCTACCAACCAGCAAGAATTCTGGCGGTGACAGATTGGTTATGTGCCCATGTGGAACACAGATTAGTCCTGTCACTTTAAGAAATTACTCCTAATGTCATCTTGTTATGAGTATAAAAGAAACCAGTCCATAGAATGTGTATCTTCCATTCAAACCTCTCCCACCACCATGGGCAA